GGTCCGTCCTGCATGAGGGGCGCTAGGGCCCCGGTAAGGTCTCGGTTGGAGGTGGGCTCCGGGGCGGCGGGAGTGATGGGTCAGAAGCCCCCGTTGTCGTGGGGCCATGCCTCAGCCCGAGGTACTCGGTTCCTTCTGCTCAGGGTCCCTGGGGCCACCCTGCTCCCCTCTTGCTGCTGTCAGCACTGGCTGGTGGTCGCTGGAGGGGGAGGGGCCAAATGGGCTATGGAGGGGCTGGGCAGGACTGTGCCATGGCTGCCCCATGGCTGACCTGCTCGGGGCAGGGTTTGGGCTGAGCTCTGTGAAACTAATTTCAAACTTCTCACAGTAGGCTCAGCCAGCACCTCAGTGCAGACGCAGCTCCCAAAACACATGTTTGTTCAGTTGCTTTCCATAAGACTGGTCACTAATTTGCGATTTTCTTCCCTTTGCAGTCAGGTAGATTGAGGCATACCCCAGGAATCGGGTGATCTCAGCCAGGACTCGGGAGCAATGTCGCAACAACTGCTCTACCGTGCTCTGGTGTCTGCCAAATGGCTTTCAGAAGCCATCAAGTCCCAGCAAGCTGGACTGGCCTTGAGAATCGTGGATGCATCCTGGTATTTGCCGAAGATGAAGCGTGACCCGAAGCGGGAATTTGAGGAGCGCCATATCCCTGGTGCGGTTTTCTTTGACATCGACCAGTGCAGCGACCGTACTTCCCCTTACGATCACATGCTGCCCAAGGCTTCTGACTTTGCTGAGTATGTGGGGAAGCTGGGAGTGGGGAATGACTCCCATGTTGTGGTGTATGATGGCAGCGACCAAGGTCTCTTCTCGGCGCCACGGGTGTGGTGGATGTTCCGGGCTTTTGGACATGAAGCCGTCTCCCTTCTGGATGGCGGCCTGAAGAACTGGCAGCGAGAGGGGAATGTGCTGACCTCTGAGAAAAGCCAAGTAGCTCCCTCTGAGTTCCACGCCTCCTTGGACAAGTCCATGGTGAAAACGTACGAGGACGTCTTAGATAACTTGGATTCCCATCGCTTCCAGCTAGTGGATGCACGCGCTGCAGGACGGTTCCGGGGAGTAGAGCCAGAGCCCCGAGATGGTAATGTGCCTCCTGAGACACTGGCATAATGAAAAGGGGCTTCATTTTAGATGCCCATCAGTTTGACCTCTGTAGAGGTAATGAAGAGAAATATGGTTGTCCTTTATGGGCTGGGACCTGAGGCAGTATATCCACCTGTCTTCCTCTCCTTTTGACTAGCAGATGTTGCTCTTTGAGAATTCAGAAGTGGGGAAGCTTTTTCACATGAGGGGCTGGGGTGAGGAACGTAGCTTTCATACACCTCAAAGGTGTTCATTGGTCTCTTCATGTACGGATGCTACTCTTCCCCTCAGAAGGACCTGTGGAGGCGCTTTAGTCAGGGCCTCATCAGAGTGGATTGCTCTGATTCAGGGAACATGTGGAAAGAGCTAGGAGGAGGAACAGAGCTCGGCAGGATTGTGCCCATGTGGTAACCTAAAGGCTAGAGCTGTCCTTCCTGAGTAATCAGTAATCTAGTAAAGCAAAGTTTAACATAAATGTATTTGTTTTAACAACATACACTAAATAATAAATATCCCTCCTAATAAAACGGAGAATGGGTTTTGCAATGGATTTTTCCTAGACAGCAGAGGTTAATTCCTATCTGTATTGCTTTTTCTCCAGGAATTGAGCCTGGTCATGTCCCTGGGTCAACAAACATCCCCTTCACCGATTTCCTCACAGAGTCTGGCTTAGAGAAGACCCCTGAGCAGATCCGCAGTCTGTTCCAGGAGAAGAAGGTGGACCTCTCAAAGCCGCTAGTAGCCACATGTGGCTCTGGGGTCACTGCCTGCCACGTGGCTCTGGGGGCATACCTCTGTGGCAAGCCAGATGTTGCGGTGTACGATGGGGCCTGGGTGGAGTGGTACATGAGGGCGCAGCCTGAGAATATTATTTCTGAGGGAAAGGGGAAGACAGCGTAAATAAGTTGCTTCGTCTCCCACCAGTGCAGATAATTCGCCTTGAAACAGGATTTGGAAAAGATGGGTTTAGCATTCCTGGTTAAGTGTTGTGAGCTGAAGGTATTGGATAACAAGTACAGGCGCTTTGACACTTTCTCCTTACCCTACCACTGCCGCTTAGGAGCATAAAGATGACCCGGGCAGCCAGCTCTAGGTGCTCCTGTTTGAGCAGGTGGGGTGGACCAGATGACCTCCAAAGGTCACTTCCAGCCTTAGCCATCCTGTGACTCTGATTTTTACCTTATCAGATGGAAAGGAGAGAGTGCTGGTGGCAGCATGGGGAAGTAACTGAGTCAAGCCAAGCTCACGACTCGGGACGTTCCACCCTGCTCACTTACAGGATGGTTGTACTTGTATAACTGTGCCTTGAGATCCTGCTCTCTGCTTCTGTCCTAGAAGCCATCCATGCACTTTATGACCATTTTCAGTGCAAAACTTTGGGCAAAGATATAGCTGTTAAAGAAGCAAATGTGGCTTCCTGTTTGGCACTTAGGTAGAGACGTGGTTTGGATTCCTCCTTGCGCCTGGACTCTAACTGCAATGTGTACTTAGCCAGTTTTGTATCCCCATGGTCCAAAATCCTTCTTGGGGAAAAAAAAAAAGATTCTGGACTTAAAAAAGGGTAAATAAACATGTATTTCAAGATCTTTCTGCTGAGTGGAACTTACATGAGTGTTGCTTGGGCGATTCTTTTTCACAAACTCTGTTTTTATGGGATCACTTTGTCTTGATGATTCAAATGAGATGTTTCCCTCTCTCCATAAGCAGAGCTACTTCTCTTACCCTCAACGAGCTCTTTGTCCCAGGAAGGATAATGGCATTCCTCTCTCTTGGGACTTTTCATCATTGATCTCCTTTCAGTCCTTGTCTGTTTGCTTTCTGCCCTAGAACTCCATGTTAGTCAGTCACAGATCTATTCAAAGATTGGGCATAAGTTCATATGGTGAAAATTGGAGTGCATGGATGTTTCCATTCTTTCCATGAGACTTGCCATGTACCCTTAAAAACCTTAGGGGGAACCAAGACTTACAGAGGAGTAGCCCACAATGGCAAGTATTTTTCCCCAAGACTATTGTCTTATATCTGAGAGTGAAATACTCCTGGGTTTCTTTGACAGTGTTCAAGAATTTGTTCTCTAGGATTTTTCTTCTCTGAAAAATAAAAAAATAGCTAGCCTGCACCTGTTGTGGCCCACTGTTAACTAAGAAAGTTAATGAGACGGGTTGTGCTCTTGGCCTCGCAGCAACAGGTACCTGTGGACATCTAATGATGGGGCTGTCCTTTCTAGGGGATGCTATGGCTGCTTATGGTCACAGGTTTGCAGGGTCCCCCCTGAGCCACTGAATACGAGGGCTGTATACTTTCTTATTGAAGAGTGTTTATTCTTCTCATTTCCTTTGGCCTCTGTTGGCTGCGGTCCTGGCTTCTTCCTGGGCTTGGCCTGCATGCATGCAAGCTCTGTTTCTGCTCACCTCCTGTGAGTTTCACTGTTCAGATGATTTCTTCCTCTGTCCTCCCCGCCCACAAATACAGTTTGCCCCTTCTTTCCACCAGTGACTGCAAGCAGTCAGTTTCCCTCCTCACATCCAGTCTAACAACCTCACTCTTCAGGGACTTAGGGCTGACGTTACAGCAAGTGCTGAGTATACAGAGTGCGCAGGGGTCTGAAGTGAGTGACCCTTTAGTATGCAGTGCAAGACACAGATCTGGATAAAATAATAAACCTTTATATTTGACAACTTCCATTTCATTCTCTGGGCTTAGACTTCCCAAAAGTGCTTCCTTTGCAGGTTATGGCATGCCCTGCAAATTCTTAAGGCTTTCACTTCTGGATCTAATTGACGGTTTAATTAATTTTCTTCTTCCTCCTAGGGAAGGGTTTTCTACTCCCACGCTTTATGAATTTCCCCACCCAGGTAATCACTGTGTTTTGAAAGGCTGGTAGCAACACTTTGCTTTCTCTGACGTTGGGTAATTTTCTAGGAACTGTTTCCTGCAGGGGAAAGGGAGGAACTAGTCAGCATGTCATGAAGGATGTCTGATTGCAGTGTGTAACTGAGAGCACTTAAAAAAACCACACAATAAAAAACCAGCAGAAAACCCCTTTTTAAGCTGAAGTATGGTGTTGCAAAAACAAAAGAATAAGCCCTGGCTGGGATGATTGGCTGGGAACAGCAAATGGTGCTAAACTCTCTGTGGAGAGGCCTTCCAATCTGAGCAACACAAGTGCTGCTTTTCAAGACACCTTGAGTTAAAGACACTTGTGTTGTCTGGTATGAGGTTGTACAGCAGGATCTGGCTTGTGGCATTTTTTCAGTTCAGGATTTCCAGCTTCTCCCACTGTCTGCCAAGCTAAGAGGCTTTCACGTGATGGGTTATTAAGGTTGAACACCCGAGGCGTGGCTGGGAGGTGAGGCTGATTTTTGTCAACGTGTGGCCAGGGCCCTATGTACAAACAGACTGCTCTGTTTCTCCAGGGAAATTCAATTAGAGAAAATTTACATATTCTTTCAAACTTTTTGTTAATAATTTCCAGTGAATGCAGGGAGATGGCTTTTGCTCTTGTCCTTCCAGAACATTTGCCAACACACCTTAAGCGCTATGTTTCCGGTTTTCCACTGAGGTCTGTGGGGATCTCTCGGCTTCCTCTTGAGATTGAGCTGCTTTTCTGTCCTGTGTGTCACAGGGAGGTGTCTGGTGCAGCCCAGCCATCCACCTGGAGATCGCAAACCAAGTGGAAGATTTCCCTCTCCCCTTGCTCTATGTTTTGGTTGTGTGGCTCGATGCTATCTAGCAGGGCACTTCCCTCCCTCTGCTGTGTGTGCCAAGTTTGGCAGTACTCAACTACCCTTTTCCCAGCCAGGTTTTGAACCACAAAATGTCAGTAGTTCAGTTTCCCAGCTTTTGGCAAATCTTCTACTAGATACTTAGCTTTGCCTTGATTTCCCCACAGAGGAGAAATGGAGAACTTCCTCCCCACGAAAAGATACTTTGTCTTTCTGGGGTATGCCCTGTTACATCACATACCGAAAATCTGTCCAAGAGTGTCTTCGGATACTCTTACTCCTTTTAGTTGTGATCTGTTCTCACGCTGCAGGCAAAGCACTGAGAAGGCTGTGGAAACCGAGACAATGTTTCCAGAGCCTGGAGACTGCAAAAGCCTATTTTGAGCCATACCAGATGCTACTGGACATATGGAACAGCTGAGGGGACTCGCACCAGGACTATAAATGTTCTGCAGATCTTTATGTCCCTGACTCAGTGGGAGGGTTTCCTATGGGAACTGGAAACTGGCTCTCCTGTGGAAAATTTGCCACTGGGAAAGAGGAATAGCATATCGTTGGTGGGATAGGGCTCATGGTGGCTAAAAAGTAACCTAAAATTACAGCCCTGATATAGGAAGAGGCTCACATTGAACTGTGGCTGATTTGAGACTGCAGCTTTTACAGTGCTCTCTGTAAATCTGAGGCCAGCATGCAAACTCTTTATTGGTTTATTGGTATGTTTTACTATCTGCAGTACTTCTGTCCTGATGTAGTTTTGGACTCTGAAAACAGGCAGGTCAATGGTTCTCCAACAGCAATCCCACAGTCCCTCATTCCTCACATGTCTTCTTCATACCCTGCCTTCCTCTTCCTTCCCTACTGTTGCCTAGCAGTCAGGTTGCACTTTTTTACATCGAACCCTTTGTTCCCCTGCAAACTTTCCCAAATCCAAATATATCCCTTCTTCTGCCAGCGCTGCTGTCCATTCCCACTAACACCCACTGCATGAGCAATGGTAATTGCTGTTACCTGCAGGGGCTTTTCTTGTTCCTCTCCTCTCTCCTGGTCCCTGCTCGCAACTGGGTGCTACATGACTGTTCTCTCCCCTCCTCCCTGCACTCTCCCAGCAGAGGTGCTGAGTGATGTGCATATACACACAGACTTTACACACTATTTTGAATGCAGGTACATTGCCCACAGACTGAACGAAGCACAAGGAGCTGGAGAAGGACTAGCTTGCCTGTGTGCTGTGGGGTGTTTCTCTTCTGGCTCTGATATGCCTGGCTCAGCTGACAGTCAAGCTGCACTCTGTTGGCTGCAAGTGAAGGGTCTTCCTCCCACCCCCAAGTCCAGTGTAGGGAGTTTTCTTTGCCTAGTTCACTCTTAGCTTAACAGTAAAATGTCAAAGCGTTGCTTGTCCTTCCTTCCACTTCCTATGGAGAGAGGAGACAATTTCTTCTCTAATCCCAGACTTTTGTTCCCAGTCTGCCAGAGCGGTGACACTGTCTGTGCCAACACACGGTGACCCCTGCTCCCACCGCTGCTCCACAATGCAACAATTCCCTGCAAGCAGCTCCGCAGCATCAGCGACGCATTGTACGCCACGTACCCAGCTGACTCATCAGGCTGCAATGTATGTACGGGGCGCTGCAGTGTGTGTAGCTCTCTGCAGGTTTGCAAGTGCAGGCCTGCTGGCTGCTGAAACTAGAAACTCAGTGTTTTCCTCATCTCTTGTTCAGCTCCATCACCTGTCTACCCAGTGGCTGTCCAGCTTTTCCTGCCCCAGTCTGTCTGTGCAATTGTCCCCGTAATTTAACTGGGCATTTAACAGGGCTGTATGGTGTTACACAGTCACACTCCTCCATGTAAGCTTGTGCTTGCTCCTGTCTCTGTGTGTGTGTGTTTTATATATAGTTATCATCAAAGCAGAAGGAACAGCCATTGGATTATTTAAATTTATTTTTCCTCTCTTCTATTGCTTTATTTTAATGAATCTTAACTAGGGCATGCTAGTTGCATCTCAGAACTATGTCTGGTGATGGTGTGTGAATCAGGCCTGTATTCAGCCTACACCACCAACTCATCATAGCATTTCAGTTGCTAACAGACCCCAGACTGACTTCTTCCTGAAGAGGATTTTTGTGTGCTATGGGAAACACCCTGGCCTGGGGAGTTTCCAATAAATTTTATTCTATATGTTGCAGAAAAGAAGGCTCTGGGGATGGGAGTGGTGTACTTTGACTTCTGTCCTTACTCATAGTGTAGCTCTTTAGATTTACCAACTAGCCTTTCACACTGTGGCCCTGAGGTGAACAAACCTTGAGGTGCTGGCCACAAATGGAAGCTGGTGTTGGTGGAGGAAGACGTGCTCTGAATACAGACCATCCCTGACCCATGAGCAGCATTGGCATGGGAGAACATGGGGAAGAAGGCACTGAAACAAGACATGGACCTAAAAGGGAGCAAGAGGCTGAGGAGCTATGAGAGGAGGTAAGGGAGACAGGATGAGCCCCTGATAGAAGGAGAAAGAAGACTAAGGCAGGACAGACTTCTTGGAGAGGGAGATAAGGGGCTATAGGCCGCCACCCTCAACTGCTGCATTCATATCAGAGAGGCACAGCCCTTGCCTTAATTCTCTGCTGGAGCTGCAGCCCACACAGACAGGGTCCTGCATCCCTTGCACACCAGAGTGCAGGGCAGAGGTCTCAGATTTGTCATGGTTTGACTCGGAGACAGAAGCATGAGGGCAGCAATCCCAGAGCCCAGAGCTGTGTTTCAGTGTTTCAGCTCAGGTCAGTGTTTATTTGAGCATCTTTGCTCAGTGGAGACTGGTCCAAGGGCTGGGCACTAGTTTGGGCCAAAGTCTGCTCTGTACAGGTAGGCAAAAGTAATTTTTCATCCTCTCCCTAATACTGGCCAGTTCCTGATACAAATCCAAGGAGATCCAGAGTTATTTGCATTTACAGCCTACAGCAGCTGAATTGTTCCTGTGCTTAAATTAGCTAGAGGACAGCAATCTTGAAACCTTTTTCGTGTTACTCTCTCATCCCCTCCTCCCCTTTGCACTCCTCCACAGAAGGAGCAAAGTACGCACTTGCACTGTCTTTGTGAAGGAAGTCCTGGGTGATTTGGGGGAAGGGTGACACTGCCTTCATGTCCTGTAGTGATTAAAGGGAGTGATTTCTAACTACAAGAAGAGTGAAGGACAAAAAGAAAAGGAATATAGGAATACAACATAATCTTTCTCTTTATCCACCCTCTTCCCCCAATAAATCCTCACCTCAAAAGACACAAAGATCAAGAGCAATAAAGTGTCTGCAAGGCTCCATGGCGTCCCTGCAGTGCTGCATTGCCCTGACAAGAAAGAGTCAGCAAGTAGCTTAGGTGAAGGAAGGCTTTGGGCCACGTTCAGGTGAAACATCAGCCTTTCTGTTCCTAATATGCTTGAGCTGCTGGCAAGCAGGACTGTGCTTAGGTGGGAGTGGGGAAAGCAGAGCTACTGGAGAGAGAGCTCGTTTGGGTTGTGTCGGTGCCAAGGAGCTCATTTGAACAGAGTCCCATGAGCCATGAGCTGTTGAGCGCCAGGATCGGCTAGGCAGGAGCCAGTGTCAGAGGCAGGGCTAAATTCGGTACAGCAGGATTGGCACATCAGCCTCAGACTGTATCTGGAGACAGAGATAAGACTCCGCACAGAGCTAAGTTAAAATCTGAGCTCTCTGTTGCCCAGACACAGACAGGGGTGGCAGGAGCACAGGGGAAGGATGCAGGGGGCCTCTATCTGGCGTGGTTTGTGCTGCTAGGGCAGCAAAGGGGGGGACTTTGCTGAGTCAGCAACCCTTCCAAGCTGGAAGAAAAATTGTTCCTGCCCCCTGCCAGCACTTCATGCAAATCCAGAATGCAGTTCCCAAAAGCGTCCCTACATAAGTTAGCAAGCAGTCTGCACATTTTGCAGCAAGAACAGCGAGGTAACTGATGCAGCACTGAGCTGCGAGCCTGGGGTAATGGATCTCCTGAAGGGAAAGCTGTGGAGTACAGCACTGACGGGCTCAATCTGCTGAGTGCCAGGGTGCAGGTTCCGAGGGAGCTTGCAGGCAAGACCCAGCACTGGAAGCAGGCAGCCTCCCAGCCGCACCGCTGGAGTCGTGTAGTACAGTGCAGCCCCCCTCATTACAGCATCCTCTTTGCAGGGACAGAGGGCTGGGAAAACTACAGTTCCCAGCACCCTTTTGTGCTTGTTCCTGCAAACTACAGTTCCCAGAAACTATTAAAGAGCCAGAGAGGATGTCTGTGGAAATAACATGCTGACGAGTTTTGCATAACACCACAGGAGTGCTGGCCGGCCCAGTGGGTTAGTGCAAATGGGAAGAGGGGAAAAGCCGGGGAGCATCAGCACTGTAGAGCACAATTTTGCTTGCTGCTAATAGCCGCAGCGATATCTTCTAGCACAGAGCATCCTTCCTCCCCTCGGGACCTTTTTGGCGGTCACAGAGAGGACCCTGGGCCCCGGTAAACACGGCTGCTGCGGAGACAGAGGCAGATAAACTACAGATCCCGGCATTCCCCAGCAGGCAGTACCTGCGGCAGTCCCTGCACGCCGAGAAGCGGGGGATGAGGATGAGGATGGAGGGCATGGAGGAGATGCAGGGTGCCGTGGGGCTACGGTGCACCTGGGGCACGCAGGCACCCGCTGGGACCCAGGCCAAGTGGGTGAGGCTCAATGTGGGGGGTACCGTTTTCCTCACCACCAGGCAGACCCTGTGCCGGGAGCAGAAATCTTTCCTGTGTCGCTTGTGCCAGGGCGAGGAGCTGCAGTCGGACCGGGTAAGGCAGCTGGGTTGCCTCCCGCACCGTGCCTCACTGAGCATGGGGAGGGTTTGGAGGGATGCAGGAGTGGAGCCATACCCCCGACAGCTGCAGGAGGAACTAAAAAATGCCTCCTCTTCCTCCCTGCTTTCCCAGGAAGGATTTCCCCTTGCCAGATCCCACCTTTCTGTGTTGTAGCCTGGCACTGTCTTCCCAAACTGGAGAAAAGAGCGGCCATCTCCCCTCTGCACCCTCTCCCCACATCCCCTGGGACTACCTCCCAGCTGTATCTGCACGACTCAGCCTTGTCCTTTAAAAGGGGTCTCTCTCCTCTCTCACACTAGGCCTGTACGCACAGTGGCAGAAGGAGCCTGAGGCCTACATTTTTTAGGTTTTCTCAGCTGGGTTGGTCCATGCTGAGATGGGCATGCTGAGCATAACGATGCAGGAGTTAAAATCCAAGCTGGGCTGGTTTTGCTAGGGGCTCTCCGTAGTCCATCTCAGGAGAGTAAATTGTAGAGTCTGGTGCCATTTACCATGGGAATGAAACCTGCAGAAAGTTAAGAGTGCAGTCAAAATGTTAAAAAAATCTATGTTTCTTTCTCCAAAACCCTGTGGTGCTGTGATGAGCTTTGCAAAAAGGCCTGCTCTCCACCTCACCTGTGGGTGCAGGCTAAGATGTTCCCCTGCCTGGCTGTGCCTTTGCATACTGGCTGACTGTTGTTCTGTGTCACTGCCTGAGCATGCATGTGCTTTGGGATCCTTGTACTTTGGTCCATCATCATCATGCTTTGGATCATCTCACAAAGGACTGACAGTGGCATCTTCTTCCTTTGTGGTACTTTGCTATGTGTGCTGTGTAAGTGATGGTACCCAAGAGGAGCTGAACCATGGGCAGAGCCCCTGATTTCCAAGGAGTGGGCATTTTTGCTTGGGTTTGTATTTTCTTTTAGTCTGGAGCGTTTGAGGGCAGGTGATACATTTCCTATGGGGTTTTTCTCCTCGTGGTCTATCTCTGTTGCTAGGATGAGACTGGTGCCTACCTCATAGACCGGGACCCCACTTACTTTGGACCCATCCTGAACTTCCTCCGTCACGGGAAGCTGGTTCTGGATAAAGATATGGCTGAAGAGGGTGAGTCTTGGAGCTCGGAAGCTTCCCACTTAACATTGCTGCCATAGCCAGGACACAGTAGGACTTACTATTGACCTTGTTGTCTCTCATTCTACTTCTTGAGGTTGGAGGGCGGGGGTGGGATTTGAGAAGGTTATCCCTGCATGCAGCTTTTGGAAAGCATAGAGGTATTTCCTTCACTAAGGGAATTTAGAATCGGTGGGAAAGGCATTCTACTGGTGTCGTGGCTTCATGACTGTTAGGTCAGCAGAGATGTCACCGAGACAGAAATAGGCAAGATCTCTCAGCCTCAATAAACCATTTTATTACTTGTTCCTGATCCCCCTTTCACCAGGCTTTGTGACTGAGTTTTCTGTTAATGACTGAGTGTTTCTAATTAGGAATGAAAACCCAGAAGACCAAACGAGACCAAGCTCATATCTTCTACTGACTGTAATAAAGACCATCATTAATCAGTGATACACAGTTTATGCTTCTAGTGCTTTGATGGGTTGTGGACTGCAGCAATTCCAGCAGAGCAAGCCAGACAAACCAGTCCCTCATTTGAGGTTGACAAGGATCCAACAGGATAACTCAGTAACATCATCACAGTGTTACCAGCCAGCAATCCCCAATGCCTCGTTATTTTTTGGATGCTAGAGTGTAACAAGCAGCCAAATCCAAAGACAGGCTATTCTGTCCAGCCCTTGCCAAGCACAGTTTCTGTGTGTTCATTAGTCTTCTTGTCTTTCTGTTTTACATATTTTTACCTAACACAAGGAAATTTTTCTTCCGAATCATCTGATGAGTTATAATTCCCAAATGATATCTAAGCAATGGTACAGAATTGCAAAAAACTAGACTCTGAGGTTTTTCCTGCTTGCCATTGCTTGTAATCTTGAGGCCAGACAGAGTTCATCCAAAGGTTTTAACATCAAAGCTGAAGCACAAACAGGAGTTCTGTTCACAGCTTAATGCTGCCTTTTGTTCCTGCCACAGACACTCTGCCTGGCACAAAACTAACCTGTTAGATGTTCACAGCTGAATGAGGGACTTGAAGGGGTCTGAGTGTGTCAGGTAGAGAAGGGTCAGTCCTCCCACCTGCACTGTGTACTGCCCTGGGGACATGTGAGTGTTGGCTGCCAGCCACCTGCCCCTAACTCACCTTCTGGGAGCCCACCTCCCTTTCCCTGAACGCCTGTTAGGAAACAGGTGAGTCTCAGGAGAGGTGATGGATGCAGGCACCATAGAGAAAACAAAAAACCAAAACACTTCTCTGTTTACCTGCTTTGAGGTGAAGCACAAGGGAGACACCCAAAGACCATCTGAAATCATATGGGGCTGCAAGGTGGGTGCAACTCCAACTGACCCAGGAGGACAGTTGGGATTTTTTTAGGGTCTTTTGGTGACAAGATCAGAACTAGCTGTTCACTGCCTTACAAAAAGGACCTGAACAAGGTGGTAGCTAGTGCTCATTCTGTGTTTCTTTCTCAGGGGTCCTGGAGGAAGCTGAGTTCTATAACATTGGTCCTTTAATTCGAATCATCAAGGATCGACTGGAGGAGAAAAACTTCACAGTAACTCAGGTATGGAGAGAAATGGCAAGGAAAGATAGAGTGGAGTGGGCAAAGGAGGGAATGTGGAAAGGGAGAGGTGAGTCTAGAGGGAGAGTGAACTTGAGAGAAGCAGCAAGGAATGGAAAGAAGCAGCTAATTGGAGTTTATGTGCTAATGTCTGCATAGCAAAATCCTGCAGGAGACAGACCACCACCATTTTAGTTACAATAAACAAGTTACAGGTTTGTTTTGCATCCCTAGAAGTAATGCTGGATATAGTCCCTGAAAGCAAATCAGCCTCTCTATTTGGAAGAAGCCAGCTGGTTGCTGTGGGATATGGAAAGATGTTTGTGACGAGAGCGGAGGCGTAGAGAGGAGAGCTCTGGTGTAGGGAGTCCTAGGAGTGTAATCACAGTGAAGAGTATGGGAATACCTGTAGAGAAACCTAGAGGGAACAGGTGAAGAGATGTCTGTGGAAGAGTTGAATGCAGAGAATGAGACATGAGGAATCAGTCCTCTGGCACAATCACACCTGTCACGGCCAATAACCTTTTAAAATCTGTCTTCTGGGAGTGTTGGCTGACATCTCACTTTTCATCATGTGTGCCTCAGGTTGTAAGCCTCCAGCAAAATACTCACTCTGTGCTTGCAAAACCCCGTCAGCATTTGTGGTATTTGCATAAATGACTTTGTAATGACAAATGCAAACTCCCCATCCAAAGAGCCCAGTACCTTCTGGGGACAATGCAGGAAGCTCTCAGCTCCATCTCTCCTCTCCAGAAGAGATGCTGTTGTTCTTGCTTCCCATGACAGCACAGTTGAAAATTTGGTTGTGGTTTCCACTCCCCTTTAGTCTGGTACATGGGGAAGAGGACAAGTCTGTCAAAAAGGGGTATGACCACTTCTTTCTGGAGAAAAGCAGCAGCCTTTAGCATTTGCTCGTTGTCAACATGCTCTGCAATTTTGCTGCCAGGTGCCTCCTAAGCATGTCTACCGTGTGCTACAGTGCCAGGAAGAGGAGCTCACTCAGATGGTTTCCACTATGTCAGATGGATGGCGCTTTGAGCAGGTATGGGTAAGGTAGAGGAGGCTGGGCAAGAGTTGTATTTTGGGGAAAAAACCATGGGTACTATACAGTCCCCAGGCAAGGTGCCTTCCCTCTCTGAAAATACTGGGTCGGTCATTGATGATGCTGTGACACTGGCTCTCTCTTGCCTGTTCTCTAGAAGGTTAGAGGATGCTGTGTGAGGTCAAGCTGTTTTGGATCCTGGCTGACTCCTCCTGGTTTTCTGTGCTGCCTCCTTAGCTTAACTATGAGGCCTTTCTATTGGGGGTAGGGATTGAACTCCATGCTGCTAGATGGGCTTTCTGCCTCGCTCCCTAGGTGAAGTGAATGTTTGCAGTAACATGTGCTTGTGATTCTTGCTCTCGTCTTTTCTAGCTTGTGAACATTGGCTCATCCTATAACTACGGCAGTGAGGATCAGACAGAGTTCCTGTGTGTGGTCTCCAAAGAGCTGTACAGCTCCTCCAATGGCTTGAGCTCTGAGCCCAGTCACAAAGCCAAGGTGAGACCAACTTTGCTATGACTGTGCTCCTGTTGTCTATGAGACCCTTCACTCTTGTTTGCTCCCTCTTTCTTTCCTCTCTCCACTGTGACCATGGGACACCTCAGTGATAAAATACACATGCTAGTCCTGGTGCTCAGCACCTTGACATTACACCCATTGCCCAAAAGGAGGAGTGCGCGTGTTGAGAGTGGTGGTGTCTAGCTGTGTGTGGCAAATGGCTTTAGCAAGTGACCCTGGCACTTCTCATGCTACTCTAACATCTCCCTCATGCCTCCTCATGGGCATGCTGTGTGTGTCACTCTGCCTTTAGAGTGTGATTTCCCCAAAGGTTGTGTTCTCTTTCCTTGCCAAGTCCCAGTCTAAGGGGCAGGAGATCATCCTCTCCCCTTCTGAGGGAAGGACAGAAAGCTGTGGCCGTGCATGACATTGTGTAGACACTTAGGATGCAGGAAGGAGCTACAGATGGCAGTTGTTGGGTAGTGGGATCATACCACTTGTCAGTAGGTTAGACAGCCCTGGCCTGATGCTCCAGAGGAAGACTCCCTGAGCCAGAGCTGTCTTGGCCGCGGGGAAAGTTCTCTTTTTATTCCAGTGTCATGACCATTGCTTTATTCCCTTGTGTGTCAGAAAGAACTGCTATGGCTCATCTTGCAAGTATCTCCACTCTTTCTTCCCTTTGTCCTGCATGTTGGGCCACAGAGCACAGAGGAGGACCCGGAGGAGGAAGAGCAGGAGGTGGAGCAGGAGGCAGAGGCAGAAGCAGAAGCAGAGGAGAAAGGTGCAGCAAATCCTTGAGGAAAATGATAAAAATAACCCCCCAGCATAGACCCGTCCACCTTTCTGGTGAGAACTCACAGCTAGCAACAGGGAAGGACTAGGGCAGGTATGGGGTGTGGGGGAAGTCCACTCCAGAAGCCTGAGTCTCTCTGGAGATAAAGCTCACAGGGGAGAGCTGTTACCATGGCTGTTGGTTTATATTTTAAATGGTTTGGTTTATTCATGGTTATATTTTCATTTGTAGACTGTCCATCTATTCGGGATTGCACTAAACTCTTTCTTCCTCCGGACCCTCCTTCCTGCACCCCTCCATCTCCGTCCCGCACTGTCACCTGCCTCCCATCCTGCCCCACTCCCCAGCCTCCAGCATCCTTCCCTCTTTGCCCCCCAGGGCTCAGAGTGGTCCCTGCCTGGGGCCCTGTCTCTTTCTGCTCCTCACTTTTCCTCCTCTGCAGGTACGTTACCTGTCCGCACTCTCAGCTCCCACCAGCCTGAGCTCTGCATGAGTGACTCACTTCCCTCTTTGTGGGTATGGCCCTGGTTTATAGAGCTTGGGGCGGGAGGGGGAGGGAGGGGAGATTGACTCATCCCTAAGACGGCTTTTCTGATTCTCATCCTATGTGTGGCTTTACCCACCAAGCAGGCCCTACAGCACAGGACCAGAGGCTCTGGCAGCAGAAAGGAGAGCGCAGCTGGGAGAAATGAAGAGGGGTGTAAATTAATGCAAAGCAGGCAGGGGTAGCATGGGTAAGAGGGGGAAGTCTGCTATGTGTCTGCCTGACACACATGCCAGATAGCTTCTCCAGACTGCTGTCCGCAGCTCCTTCCCTGTCAGCCTGAGAGGAGTTTGCAGAAGGCAGCCTGTGATTTCCCCCTCCTCGCTTTCACTTCCCTGGGCTTTTCCCCCACCAACTCTTCCAGGGTGAGAGTGCAGTGGGAGAGGGTGGTGAAGGCAGAACAGAAGCGGCCAGTCCACATTCCACATGTTCTTGCAGCTGTGTGTGAAATGAGCCTCTCTGCTCCTCCTGCTGCTCAGTGAGGCTGCCTGGCCAGGCTGCATGGGGCTAGGTACAAAAAACTTTAAAAATAGGATTCCTTTCTCATACTGGAAAACTGTGGGGCTCTTGTTAAACCAGAAGTGCTCAGTGCCACTGTCCATCCTGGTGGAGGGCCCTTGTTAGCTGGCAGACATTTCTCTCTCCCTCTGAGAGCCTCCTTGTCCATGGCTGTGGGACCTGAGTGTTATTCTCTTAAAAGAGTGTATGTTAATCACACAGACTTTTCCTTTCTTTTTCCCTGTTCTCTCACCCTCATTCCTCATCTCTTTTCTTTTTCTTCTGTTCTCATTTCCTCTGTCATTTCCCTTTTCCTCTTTCTCACTCTCCCCTCCATGCTCAATAATTTTTTTCTCTGCTTTTGATTTTGTTTATCTCTTTCTCTCTCCTTCTCTAGCTGTTACAAGCCAGAGGTCTGAGGATGTGATCTCAACACTCCACTCCAGCTTTTCAGTTTCTGGTTTATACCTTTATTTTTGTACAGCAGTGTATGGCAGCCCCTTGCCCCACAGTGACACTGTCCAGTCCCCTTCACTCTTCACATGCAGCCGTTCTTTTTTACAAACTCACCTCGGAGGCCTGAGCCACAGCCCCTAGAAGAAGGCAGATGCTCCAAGGAGACCCTGGGCTGCTGTAGTGGCTGGAGCCCACGGCCCCCTGCCATGCCTAGCAGGCTGGCTTTCTTTAATGTCACAGTGGCCCCTGCTGGGGACATCAGTGATCAGCCACTGCAGTCTGCGGTCCCTTCCTGAGCGCCCTGGATGCAACTGGGGCTCCAAGGTGGTGGTAGCTTTTGAAGGACCAGTCTTTGCCGTTTCTGCTGTTTGCAGCTGGTCTGTGCCTGTGACGAGAAGGCAAATGCAGAGCCACTGCCCTTTTCTGGGCCACCTGGACTGCTCATGGGGTGCCCCACTGCTGGGTATCTCCCTTCTTGGTATCTTGTCGTCAGAGTGAGCAGGAGACAGGTGTGCTGCCCAGGTACCTGGAACATGCTGGCACCTCATGTAATGTCTGCTAGCACCAGGAGATCCCTGTCTCGGGGAGCGGGGTGTTTGTTTCATGGCTGCTTGTAAGGACACCAGGTTGTAACTCCTGAATAAAATCCACAGTCTGTTCCTCCTTGCTGCCTCTCATTTCAAGTGGCAGAAATTTGGTGCTTGTAGAAGGGTGTGGGAGCTGGAGAAGGGGAGTTTGGATTCTTCACCTGGAGCCACCAGAAGCTGCTGTGCTGTGCCTGTCTTCTGGGGACTTGTGGTATTTCCCACTGCATCTGTGCTGCATCCCTACTGCAGGCAGCTGGCCTACAGAGCAGGTTAGCTTATTGGTATCTGCACCCCTAAATCATAACACCTCGTAACTTGCGTGTTGTCCCCACCGTGCCTGGGGGACAGCAAAGAGGGAGGGCAGGTGTATGGAAATTTGCCAGTTGCCAGTGCCAGGGTTGGAGTTTGGTCAATAAGATTCAAACTGTAAGATAATTTTTAACAAGGTAAGGCAAACTAGAGTCAAAAAACCCCTCAAATTAATTTTATTTCTAATTGCAGAGAGTGGCCCATAGTGGATGTGTATATCTTTAGTAAAAAAAACCAAACCCCTAGCAGTTACTATCTAAGCACTGTGCCCTGACGCCCTCTCCTTCACCTCCTAGATTATCTGAGTTAGGAGACAGAAGCAGTTGAGAATCCTTTATGTTAAAGGTATTTAGAGGAGTTGAAGGAAGGGGATGGGAGGTTGCTCCAGAATTTTTACTGAGGTACTTTCCCTGAGGAAGGTGTAGTGGAGGCTGAGTGCTGCTCCAGCCGGGAGGCAGAACATGCGCTCAGGGCTATGATGCTGGACTTGTGCCTAGGAGTCAGTGAGACGTGAAGAGCTGCCTGGCTGAGCTGAGCAGCACACTGAGCAGCACGCTGATCAGCACACGGCAGCTAAGAAAAGAAGCAATTAGGGAGATGGAAGAGGAGGAGTGACGGGAGGGGAAGGGGGAAGAAGGACGAGCAGCGGGAAGGAAGAGGGAGGCAGATTGATTTCACAGTTACTGGAATCTCTAACTACATCGGTCACATTTTCTTTCAGCAAATATTCCAGCATAAGATTGTGGCTGAATCACATGGTTCATTGAAAGTTCAACTCCCCTTATTCCTTTTATCAGAAAACATCAGCCTGGGACCATTGTGGTGTGGTGTGTTCCCCACCTCAACCCCAGCTCTTTTTGATGGCTGGCCTAAAAACACCTTGGGATGCTCCCTGGGAAACACTGAGGGGGAAGAGAGTCTGCCTGCTTTCCTCTGCAATCCCCAGGCTTGCAGGCTTTTTTTACCCTGTTCAGAAAAGCATCCTGGGTCTGACAACATCTCACACAGAAACTCTCTTTCTCTGAGAGGCAGCTGAGCAAGATCAGGAACGAGTGCCATGTGAGTGTAGATATGATGGGGAGAAGGTAGAGATGCACTTTTCTCAGCTCATGGTTTGGTTCATCCAGCTCAGCATTTGAGTGATCCTGGTGTATACTCCATAGTGATTTGGACGTGCACATCCCATTCCCCAGCTGACCAAACCAGCCAGAAACCACCTGCCACTGGGCTCCTTGCAGGCCAGTGGACCTCCAGAATCACCCTATAGAAAGGGAAAGGAAAATGGGGTTATAGTGATCCACAAGCTTCTCCTGCTGGATGATTACACTGGCCTTGTCCCTCTCTATGCAGATTACTGTATCCCCTCAACTCATGCCTGTGTCATCTGCAACATCCCCTGCACCCTAGGCCAATGTCAAAAACAGTACCCAGTGCAAACATCCAACCCCCTGTTGCATTCTTTCATCATGCAAATTCCTCCCCCATAGCCAGCTCCCAGGAAGTTGAGAGCTCTGTTGCTTCCTTCTGCTCTCTGTAGCATTTCCAAATATATGGAGAGCAAGGAAGCTGGTGGAATTTAACTGGATATCTGGAGAGATGTGAGACAGGGAATTCTTCTTGGCTGCTGGTAATGAGGGTTACTGTGTGTGACAGATACTAATGAGGCTGAGGGGAGAAGAGATGGATGTAGACTTGGAAGTGGGAAGTAAAGAGTGTGGAATGCGCTAAAATAAGAAAAGGAGAAGTTTAAATGTATTTGGATCCTGTCTAAGCAAAGATGTTGGTAGGAAGTGGTCCACAGAGCTGTTGTTGACCACTTAGACCAGAGGAAGGGTTGAGGGAGTCAGGCATCTTATGGTCTTTTCACCTCTTCTCAGGCTGTGGAGTACATTTGGGAGACTTGGGTCACACCCCACCTCTGGTAGTCAACCCTGATCCCACAACTCCTTTGTCACCTGGCAGGCATCTTTCTTGCCCTTCTGGTACCCAGCACACAGCATCCTGGGAGAAATCTTGTAGTGGTAGGCCTCGCTGCAGATGTCCTGCTGGATGAGCTGCACATCCACCTTCTGCAGAACATTGCTGATGTGCCCTGAGAGGTAGACCACCAAAAGCAGTGCAGGTGAGCAATGGTGGAGCTTTCCATCATTTACCGTGATCCCCCAGCCCATGTCCATCTCACTGCATGCTGAAAGCTGAAAGCTGAATTAGTGTTGTGCTCTCCACTGGCATTGTGGTCTCTGACTTTAAGGAGAATACTTCACCTGCATGGAAGGAGTAACATTCCTCTGAAGTACCTTTCCATACAGGAATATATTGTGAGCACTTCAGCTTTTGGGACAAAGGGAATTCTGGTTTGGGGAAGCCTCTGAGATGTAAGAATTTTGGATTTACTTCTCATTGAAATGGTTCTTAAGTTCTTCTGGCTAAGTATGCCAATCAGAAGTGTCCACTTCGGATAGACCCATGAATGTTTCCATTTAGGAAGCAAATGGAGCAAGCTTGTGAGTGTGAGTGAAGGTGCTAAGCTGACCTAGGCGAGCATATCCATATTCCTGTGTCAGGCACTGCTAGAAAACAGTCTGAGCCTGCTTGTTTTCCCCATGAGGAGGGAACATAAAGGGGCCATGCCCATACAGCTAAATTTTTCCTCAGAAAACAGAATGGACTCATCCGTACCACCCCATGGGAACAGGTCTTGGCTCATGTTGTCCCCCAGTAGTGTGCAGGTGCTATGTGACCAAAATGGTACCAGAGCACATGCTAACAATTGCACAGTGTGATCCCTGGGGGATAGCACTCAGACCCTGCGCTGCTCCCATTGAATTTACTAGTACAGGTGTTGCTGGTGGAACCTAGGTCCTAGGGTCTTTGACACAGGGAAAATGTTGCTGCAGCAGCGGCAGACAGATATTCCCTAGGAGATCCAATGCTGGCTTGATGAAGAGCAGTTTTTAATCTCTGCTCTCTCTGATCAAGCTCTATCCCTGGGGAATGACTCAATAGGAGCCCCCATGTCTGTGTAGGCATGGGGTTGGGCTTTGGGTCTGGGCTGCTCCATGCTGTGACCATAGCTGAATAGCACCTGGTCAGACCTTTAATTTCTGAAGTGCTATTCTAGTCTTTGAATGAAGGAACATATGCTGTCACCATACAGCTTACCAGACTCTCATGCCTGCCTCTCCGAATGAGGTTTTAAGGCACTCATTGGGTAACTTTGGCCAATCTGTGACCCAAAATCAAAGAGGTTGAAGGGGGCATAATGCTGTGGGGTGAACAGAAGTCTATTCTGCCTACCCCACATCTGAACCTTTGTTTCCGCCTTGACTCTCCTACAGTAGGTGACCAGCAAAGACCTTGCACCTACCGCCTTCCTTGAGGGCTCCCCAGCCAGTGATCCAGCAATGAAGGCCAGGCTCAAAGAAGTGAGAAGGGGCAGGCAAGCAGATGGGCTGGATTACAGGCGAGATGATCACAGGATGGTCCAGCTGGAGCAAGGCCACATCATAATCATGGCTGTCCTCCTCATAATAAGGGTGGAGGAAGAGGTGGATCACCTTGAAGGATACCTCTGTGTGGCTGGTGGCATTCTGCAAATATTTGCCCAAGTAAACGGTCCAGATGGAGGCGGAGGCCAATCTGTAGGATGCAGCATCACATGAACACAGAAGGATGGGCAGAGCCTGGTTGCTTCTGTTGCAGTCTTTTGAGGTCTCACCAGGGTCAGGTGAGATGCAGAGCTGCAAAGTAGTCCCAGTCCTATCAAGATTGGTGTCACCACTCCGAGGATGACCAGCAGCTCCTCCTCCTGAGCTGACATGGAACCAGGAAGGAAGGGCAGCCAGGGAAGTCCAGCAGTAGGGGGGAAGTGGGGGATCCCCACTGGCTCAACAGAGGAGGAAAAGGGGAGTTTGGAAGAGGTGGAGACTGGGCCTGAGGGTGCACTTTCCTTCCCTCACCCAGCCCTGTTGCCCAGCAGAACTGTGGACCTTCCTCCTCCTCACTTCTTTCCAGTTTGAAAAAATGGGTGATCCCCTCTGATCTGCATGTTACTACTGCTGTTGTGGTATGTACACTGGGCAGAAGGATCTAGGGGAGAAAGTGTGCTTCGTCCTGAAAGGGCAGACCCTAGAGGAGGGCAGCATGGGACCCAAACAGCATCCTCTGCAGGTAATGATATTCTGGCCTTATCCTGGCAACTGCTGATGCCTCCATAGTTGTGACAGCATGGGGACAAGCCAGAGCCAAAACAAAGGTGTAGCTCTGAAGTGTCTTCCTCTGCCATTGCCCTTCCAAAGCTGCTCTGCAAATCCCAGCACTGCCCTTTTTTTTTCATTCTTGCACACCCACTTACTTGTTAGTGCATGTATCCGTACTCCTTTCTCCAGCTCCAAGCCACAGAGAGGTGTGGCACAGGTGCCAGAGAAAGAATGCAGCTGCTCTGTGACATTTTGACATGCTGGACAATCCTTTCCCAATAGGAAGTGTTGCAAATCCTTCTCCTGTCCAGCATCTTCCCCCTTCTGTTTACCTTTCATCCTGGAAGCAGTGTGCAGCTGAGACCACCCAGCGGTCAGCAATGAGTGTCCCCCCGCAAATGTGACGTCCCCGAACTTGCAGGCTGGCCTGCCATGGCCATTCCCCTTCCACAGAATTAGCACCACCCACAATTCGGCTGAGAGGGGCTTGCAGCCCACAGTCTGAGGAGGAGGAGAGACAAGCAGGTACTTTAGGGTAGGAAGAGAACATGATACACTGTTTCTGCCCTTCCTTTTCTACTTAACCAACTGAAGAGTTGGACCTCTACTCCCTTGACTTACCAAGCCAGCAGATGTTTTATGTACTGCCCAGGATAGGTCTAGTGAGCACTCCATCCCAGCACATGCCCCTGCTGATGCCTGCACAGCCTTACCCCACCACCAGCTGCAGCCTGGGGATGCCCTTGAGGCAGTGCCCTGTCTGTGCTACCTGCCGTCCTGTCCAGGAAGCCTTGGAGCCATCCCCTTTTGCTGCCCACCGAGGCTCCAGAAATACCAAGCAGGAAAATCAAAACAAGAGCTCTTTCCCAGCCAGTGACCAGGCAGTCACGGGTGATTTTCCTGGCTGGAGCCTTGTAGGATGGCATTACTTCACATAAGCCAGCACAGTGGTCCAACAGGCAGTCTGTGGGTAGGACCTGGCCTGTGAGACATGTCTATCTGGCCTGATGCCGTCTGCCTGAAGGAGATGGGGAGCAGCCATCCAAAGAGCAGACAGTGCCTCCTGGCAGCTCAGCACAGAGAGCTGGCTTTTTGCTGCTGCCACCGCCACTGCAGGATGGAGCAATGGCACTGCTGCCATGGGGCTGGGGTAGGGAGATGGTGGTGAAACAAGGGAGGGTGGGTGCTTATGCTGGGGTGACAGGGGAAAGAGAGGGTGACCTGAAGCTATGTGACATCCTGAACCTGCCTGGCTGACCCGCAACCGAGCATTTCCTCACCACAGTGCTTCTCGTCAGACAGGTCCTTGCAGTCTGCAGTGGTGTCACATAGAGGGTTGGGTTTCTTCATGCAGGTCCCATCTTCACAGCGATAGGTGAAAGGACCACAGGGGACCCCTGCAAAGAGAGAGGGGAGACAGAGTTGAGGGAGGGAAGCATGTTGTAGACACAGCCAGAAGTCCTTGGGATTGGGGAAAAAAGGACAACAGAGAGCTTGGGGGAACTCCATATATGATGACAGGGAATTTCCTGAGAAATCTTGGTCAGCTACAAACAGAGCAAACACTATGAACACGGTGGGGACATTAAGTCCAAGCTGGTGTCCTTACCTTGAAAGAGGGAAGTATGCTACCAACAGAAAGATACTTGTCAGCCCAGTCCTGTCCCCTCCCTACCTTCACTGCACTGCTCCTCATCGCTCCCGTTGGCACAGTCCAGCTGCTGGTTGCAGACCTTGCTGAACTCAATGCAAGTGCTGTCCTCGTGGCACTGGAACTTTGCAGGGCACACTGCGTGAGAGGGAAGTGCCCAGGAATTAGGCATGCAGGACAAGTCATCAGGGGTAAGGTCAAGATCCTAAGTGCACCATTAGGCTCTGTGACCTCTTTCCACCTCGTAAGGTGTGCTTAAGACCATCTCTGGTATAATGCCACTGCATAGTCTTTGCCTGATCTGTGCTGTAGGTATGCTTGCACCCTGTCTTACACTTTGCTGATCCCGACTTAATTTTCCTTGACTTCTTGGCTTGGCTTTGGACCTGCCTCATCACTGTGGACTTGCTTTGTGGTCACTGGACTCTTGGTTGACCCCAGGTTACCATCTGCAAACCTGATCTGCTTGCCTTTATGTTCTGTAGGACTGCATCCTGTCTGGTGAGGTTCCTCCTGCCTTGCTGTCACCCTCAACACCTGGGTCACCTTCTCTTACAGAGCAGCCTCTCCCCTTGCTCTCTGATAGGTTAGTCCTGAATGACAGTGGATTCCTTAATGTCCATAAGATCTGATAGCCGCTCAGAATGGAGATGGCCCATCTGTCACAGAGTTTGACTTCTGATTATGTATTTTGATAGCAAAAACTTGTCCTGTGTTTGTGTGTATCTATGTGCAACACCAAATATGGTGGGCCAGCACCTCCCGGGCATTTTCTTACTGCAATGACTATAATTTCTTTCATAATTACTGTGAGGCTTCCAGATGACTAAAGGCACATGAAGGTCTGAGGCAATATGATAATTGGTTTTAAAGACAGGGACAGTTCCATACAGACGTGGAGTGAATAAGCAAAGATGCAACAGTGGCAAGAGTATAAGAAATGAAGGAAATCATGATGCTTCTATTTTCTTTTTCAAATATAAAGAGATGTCTGTAAACACCAAGAAACAAATACTTGTTTTGTACAGTCTTGGTCTGTGTTAACCTGTGTAAGTGAATGACACAAGATATCCCTAGGTCCAAGAAGCTAATAGGATTCAAGGAAGGATTAGGTATTCATAAAAAATCCATGTGTATCCTTGTCTGCATGAGGGAAACAAGCAAGCCCTGACATCAGACAACTGGATGATGGGACAGAGTGCACCATCAGCAAGACTGCAGACAATACAGAACCCCATCTTGGCCATCCTGTGAGAGCTCTCACACTTCTAGCACTGAATTAAAACTTACTTGAGAAAGATTTCTCCTTCCTTTGACTTTGTGCTTTTCTATACCTTCCTCTGAATCTTTCAGAATTGGCCACTGTCTCCAGTGGTTCAGGGATCTTTCTGTCTGTAAAAAAGACTGTTTTAGGGGACAACTAATGAAAACTTAGTGGTGGCAGCAATGTGATGAGCCCCTCCTTCCTCCAGAGATGGAAGAGTAGATGAATTTGGTGTCATGCCTGAGCCTGAATGGGTGTTCCTATGAGAATGGGACTTTGCAGGGGTCCTTGGATGCCAGGGATGGTGTTTGCATCAGCACTAACTGCTGTTGGCATGAAAAACCGATGGCTGATTTAGGACTTAGACGCTCCCAAAGTAGAGTGCAATATATGGGTGAGGATCTGTGCAGATCAAGTTTCATTAATGGCCTGAGGGGAGAGGGGAGAGAGCAGAGTAGAGCAGGGCGGTGGGGGGGCTAGGGGCAGTGTGGATAAGATGGGAGAGTTGGAAGGGGGACGCTGAGTCGTGTGCCAGCAGGGGGGGCTGTAGGCCAGGGCTGAGGTTGATTGTAGGACCTGGGTAGGGGGGAAGCAAGACAAGGTGGGAGACTGCCTGGGCAGGGGGCTTCTTTCAGTCTGCCTCGAGCTTTTGGTGCATGGGTTCTTAGAGTGGAGGTACAAGGCTGTACCTCGGCCAGCTGAATCCTCCTCGGTCTCTCCCTACCTCTGGAGGAGCAAGGTGTTGTGTCCTGCTGAGACCATGGACCAGCGGGGAGAAGAAATCACTCACCACAATTTCTCTCATCCAGCCCATTGGGGCAGTCTTTGATCCCGTCACAGGCTGGGACGCAGAGGCCATTCACCAGACACAGGAACTCCCCTGGGCAGGCTGTGTAACCACGAGAGAGGAGTTAGTCCCCAGTGACTGGAAACCTCCTTGCAGCAGAGCATTGTGGCTTGAAAGTGGAGCGTGGAGCTGCACACCTTCCTGACCACACGTGTATTGCAGCAACCTACACTCGCTGCACTCCCCAAAATCTGCCACGTCATCCACTCTGAACAAGGGCGAATAGAGCCAGGCTGTGTACCAGGGAAAGGAGGATTCTTTCTCTACTTCCTATTGTACCAATGGGCAAAAGCCAAGACAACCACCCACCTGGTGTGTCATAACTCTGGTTTAGCGTTGTTTCGTGGCCCTTGAATGCTGCAGGAAAGCTGAAATAGGCTATCTGGAGTTGTTATAAAAACTTGGTCAGGCCTTGGAGTGTTGGTGTTAGAAGTGTGTTGTCAGGTGCCAGGTGCACATATTCAGAGTCTGGTGTGTGTTACAGGCACCCTTTAGGAGGGAGATGGAGAAACCTTGGAAAGACAGACTGTGGGCATGCATTTGCATATGTGTGTATGTGTAATTGTGTGTGGTTTTATTTGTCTCTCACTGGCACGGATTCCAAGGTGAGCAGGGAAGCTCTCTCTAATAGTAGAAATAAAAGTTACTTTGTGATGGAGATGGTCTCTCATTGAATTCCCAAGGCCAGTCTGTGATGCGGGCACAGGGATCAGCCTGCAGGCAACTCTGACCTTGGGTTGTGGCGCATGGATGCTCTGGCAACATGAGGCAGGGCCACATGTGCAGAAGCAGGTTTGTACATAAATGCTGCTTCTTTTTTGGGAGATCAGTGATATGTGCATCAACACAGTTGCGAGTATGTGTCTGAAGGGCAGGTGGCACCTAGGGCTCACAAGATGTTTCCCCTAAAACAAGTCAAGTGCACAGAGGCTGCTGGTAGCTAGCTGGGAATCCCACCACCACACAAAGTAGCAGGGAGGAGCCTGAACTTACGATCAGATAGGTTGTACAGGCTATAAGCTGCTTGTACACCGGGGCCGGTTAAGGAGATCTGTGAGGTGAAGGTGATGGTGATGTCAGCTGAGGATGTGACTGGGATCCGCTCAGCATAGGCTTGCAGGGTCCGCAGGCCACACAACCTGAGGAGCAAACACAGGTGAGAAGTCCTGGAAAGCAAAGGAGGAGAAGACAACAAAGTGGGGCAAGGGTGTTCAGTGGGACTGGGGTAGGAAGGGGGCCACACAGACTGGCTGTAAGCATGAAGCCACGAAGGCAAAATGCCTTTACTATAGCATAAGACTATGAAAGAGCAATGCAAAAACGCTGAGATTTAAACCCATGCCCTGTCAACACATGGAAGAGGTGACATTGGATCTCGCTCTGCCTGGTCACATCTTGGTAGCTGAGCAAGGCCAGTCTGAGGATGGAGCAGCCCTGGTGAAACAAGGGGGCCTCTCTGTGTGCAAGGCAGAGTAACTAATGTAGGGGCTCCCCTAAAATGACTGAAGAATTGAGTTGAGGAAGCCCCAGAGATAAACAGGGATAAGAAATGACCACACATGAATGCTGTGGTAGGAACTGATCCAGAGAGACGGGAAACAGCTGAAATGGCCATGATATTCACCACCAAATAACTGGGGGCAACTGGGCAAAATTAGGCCTGATGAACAGGATGAAAACAGTCTACGGGTATGGTGACCCAGTTCTGCCCTCAGGCCATGTGCGAGTCAAGTGACCCTACTATCTTTGGACATTTCCCACTTTGTGGGCAAGCACTGAATTCAGGCCACTTGAAGCAGTTCAGTTCTTTTATTTATCTTCCCTAAGAAGCCATGTTGTAGAAACTGCAGCACCGACAGTTTAAGAGAGAGGGGCAGGGAGAGAAAAAGTGGAAATCCTAAACCAGGAGAACATAGATTCTGGAACAGGCCCTTCAGAGGAAAAGAAGTTACTCCCACAGAAGCAGAGGAGAGGAAGTTAATGAGACAGGCTGGGGGTGGTTTGGACTGAAAGGGGCAATTTTACAGTGACTAGGAGGAAAAACAAAAGCCTTGGATCCATCCATCTTGGAGCCTGCTTTGAGGAGATGGGAGTGCAGCAGCTCTCGGTCCCTTGCAGCTGGGTAGTGGTAGGCAGCAGCCCCAGCTATGTACAGATGGTAATTTCAGGAAGTCCCACAGAGGGAAGTGGCTGTAGTCAAAACAAGAGGATATGGAGCTAGGTGGAAGATCTGTATGGAGGTGGATGCAAGGCAATGGCACACACAGATAATGTTGCAGAGGTGGTGACAGGCAGATTTGCAAACACAGAAGACGTGGGAGGACACCAAGGTTACACACACAGGAGAAGACTAGGAAGCCTGATGCAAACAGCAAGTCAGAGAAGGCAGGCTGGTAGCTTGAGGCAAATCTGTAAGAAATGTGCTCACCGGGGAGCCTGCGAATAAGAGAGGCTGAAGAAGAAGTAGAAAAGCAAGAGGCACCAGCACAGAATGTCCACTGAGTATGGTGATAGGCTCTCCTTGCTCGGACCTGGGGACTGAAGTGAGCAGGGAATCTGCAGAGATTAATCTCATCTTAGTCCCAGGTGGAAAGTGAGAGACAGAAACAAGGCCCCCAGCACACACCTCCTGTTCTGGATTATCCACTGGCCTTGGGTACAGGGCAGGTCTTGCTTCTGTCTGCTGAGTGCGTAGGCGTCGAACCACAGGGTGACTCCATAGTCAAGGGACGGGACCTGCAGACAAGGGGATCCAGACTAGAGTGGGGATGGCTCCTATGAGTGCTGCAGCCCACTCCAACAGAAATGAGGAGGGTACGTGTGAAGGGGAGAGTTGGCAATTCATGTATTGCAGGCCAGAAGGAAGCAGCATCTAAACTGGGGCCATACTGCAGCCCAGGGTGACTCTGCTGCTGGTCTTAAAGCACTGAATTCATATAAATTTCTAGCAATCTGGTTCTGCCTTGAAGAGCTCCTCTGGAGACTGGATTCCTCCTCAAATATGGTATCTCTGCTATGGCATGCAATATTAGCCTCCTTCCCCTTCAGAATCACACCTTATGTGGAGATTAGGCATGCTGTCACCCTCTGCTTGCTTCCCATGATGATCTGACTGAGAGTGCTGGCTGTACCACCCTTAACGTGGGGAGTGCTGAGTGGGTTTCAGGGAGGTTGTGGATGCTTTTGTGGGAGCTGGTCTTACCGTCATGTGCCAGGTGCACTGCGTGTTGGGTGAGTAGTAACTGGGGTAGTGTGGGGTGCCAATCTTCCCTTGCAGCTCCGGGCGTTCCAGCAGAGTTATATTCATTTCACAGGCTGTAAATACAGACATTCAAAGCCCTGCTACCTGTCAGCTCAACCTCAGCCTAGGGACACCAGGTGCTCATCCCATTGTAGGAGAGGAGAAAAGGGGCTGTAAGACCTGATGCTAAAGGTGACTGGGAGGTTCCACCAAGAACCTCAAGTTCCTCACCAAGTTCCTCAAGAGGCCATTTCTACCTGGCAAGACTTTTAGACTCCTCCACTTGTTCAGAGAAGGGTAACGATAATGTATATTGATGCTTTAGACTCTTACATTGAATTGGTGTTTATCTGCGAGTGCATCTGGATGTGCTGTCCAGATCACATTTGGCCTGTCCATGCACAAGAGCTTGGGTTTACTCCTAAAATATTACCATCACTTAGGCTCAGCTTGCCGGAGCCTGTGCTGTAAAGACTTGAGCCAAATGCCAATGTATGAGTCCAGGTGAGGGAGAAAAATTTCACCTGCCTTTTACTGACCAGCACTACCCTTGCAATCTGGAGTGAATTCTGCCTTTAATGGGGATGGAGCACCTCTAGGAGAGGTGATGTTGTAAGACATAACCTGTCTCCTGTATCTATGGCTGCCCTCCTCCAGTCTTTCTCACCTTTGAGGGGCACCGCTTGCCCTGAGAGGATGAAGGGGTCATAGTAGCTGTACATGGCTTTCTTCCACACGATGGACATGACGGGACCAGATGAAAGGACTTCCACAACAGGCTCCTGCCGGCTGCAACCATAGATCCTCAGGGGAAAGAGATAAAAGGATGGGAGTGAAGTAAGCAACAAAAAAATGAAAGAGAAGAATGAGAAAGAAAGACAACGGAGGTCTGTGTTATCCACAGCACAGCCTCTTTCTATGAGGCACTAACTGAATAGAATACAGGGCCAGCAGAGACACAGCTCATGGTGCTGTAATCTCTCAGACTGCATGAGTGGCTGTGTGATATCCCACATCAGTGACTTAGCTGAGCAGTGAGATGCAGGTTCTGCATCAAAGAGAATTTCCTCTGATGTAGTCTAACACCTTCCTCTGCTGTGGTGTGTCGTGCCATCCTGCCCGGCTTCCCCGCCGTGCTCACCCTGCTCAGGAGCTACCTACGAGGTGATGAGGTGTTTCTCCAGGGGCCCAGCTGCGTCATACATAGCCAGGCGGTCCCTGCAGTCTGTGAGAGTCCACTCCAGGCGTAGCTTGATCATGTAACCCTTGAGGCTGTGGAGGTGCCAAAGACAACTGGAGGCCAGGTAGTCAGGACCCTCCAGCCTTAGGACGTCATCCTCCAGGACATAGCTGTACCTGTAGCAACCTGAATCCAGGGGAAAGATACAGGTATCTAAACCTCGGGGTAATGTAAATAGAGGCAAAGCGAGGCTTAGGGGGTGGTTGTAAGGGACATTAAGATATGGGATTGTCACTTGGGATATCAGTGTGAGCCCTTTTTCAGGGTAAGGCTGACTCATCCCAGTGATCTCAACTTTACTCTTATATATGTTTCAGTGGCACCAGTCTCCTTGTACCAGTGCTCCACTTTATAAGAACTCTTCCCTCTTCTTTGATTAAGCCAATACTGCTTCAGGTTTTAAATATCACCAAAACACAGTTATCTTACACTTAATGTAATGTGTAATGAATGTGTAATGTGTAATTAAGCCACTTAATGTGGCTTAGTTTTCTTTTTCATACTGATTTCCTCTCACCCCCATATTCTTCCTCAATTTACATCCCTCTTGTATGATTTTCAGGTTTCAGAAGGCTTCCAGACCAGGATTTTTGAGAAGTCAACTTAAAGGTGAGTTTCCAATACCATATCTAATGCAAGCCGCCAGGCATTGCACTTAAAACACTGTCTGTAATTAACAAAGCCACCTTTGAACATCACTAAGACAACAGACTCCTAAATGACTGACACCACATCCAGTGCAGAGCCATGCAGGGAAGCCTTCACCCCACTCAGTAGGATTTCATGAGGCTAGAACTTAGCACTATTTTACCAGTACACCAAGCTATTTGACAGGACTCATCAGGACAGGGACAAGACATTACTGAGGTGGCTGCACTGTCCCTGGGAGCTGGTACCTCTGCGCAGTGGTGTACTACTGGGGAAGAGGTGGGATTCTCAGAGTGGCCCAGCTTGTAGCCACATTGTGTAGTTTAGATCTGGCCAAGCAGCGGCACTGGTTCTCCCTTGCTACTGTTCTCATCTCTCCTTCCCAAGATTTACAACTCCAGGAAGCCAACAAGATTTCCATCTCCTGTAAAAATCCCTCCCATAAAGTCACAAACTCAAAAGGAAAGGAAAAGATAGCCTACCCAGAGTGGATTTCAGCACTACTATGTCTTTCACACTGGACTCTGTTAGAAAGGAAATATATAAAGGAAGATAAACAAAAAGATAAACTGGAAGTATCTGAATGTTAACATGGCAGGCGATGACTCCTTTCATTCCTATGTAAATGGCCCACAACTTTGGCAAGGGGCATGCTCAAGGTGTTTCTCTGTCTGCTTTTAGGGACCTGTATCAGTCATGCCTTCCCTCCCCCATCTCTCTGGGAAATCTCTCCAGCCTCTGCCCCAGTTCCAGCAGCCTTAATTTGTGCTTTACAGCCCACCACAAGCTTCTCTGTCTTTTCTCCTTGTTTCCTCTTCGCCTTCTCAGAAGGGCTGGGCATTGCCTCAGGCAGCCATTCCCCCACCCCACCAATGCCAGCCACACGGCATGGGACAATCCCACTTCCCAGAGCCTTCACCTTCTATTTACCTCTCCTTTGCTCTCCCAGTTTAAATAACCCTCCATCAAACACATGGGAGTTACTGAGAGTGGGGGAGGAGGTCTTCTGATGACCACAGGTTGATGAGCTACTCAACATTCTTATAGAGTCCACCTCTGGCGAAGGGAGATGCAGAGAAAGGGCTACAGATACGAGCAAAACAGAGTCATAGGGAGGACGATGCTTTTAGGAGAGCTGGGCTTTGCTCCAGCTTCCCAGCTGAACTGGGAGCGACCAGAGATCAGGTGCTATTGGGAATAATTGCTAAAATAAAAGGCATTGTGAGGTCAGTTGGGTGTGAGAATTGCTGTTGGGGGTTTGCCTAGGTCATGGCTTTGATCCTTCGTGGCTCCTAAGCAGAGCCTGCAATTCTGTGGGGAGAGCTGAGTAGTTTTGTCATGGTAAAAACAGATGTTGTTGTGGAAAAGATGATCCTGCAGGCATAAGACAGGCTCCTACAAAAGCTCATGTGCTGTAGGGAAGGACCTACGCTGAGTTGATATTAAGTACTCTTCTATCTGAAGGTAATAAACCTGGGTTCCTGTAAGGAGAATGATGCCCTGAAACTCTTCAGGAGAAAGGGGATGTTAGTGTCCTGAGGTGAGTGTAGCTGTTAGTAAAAATGAAGTGTTGGAGAGGTTCCTGTAATGGTTTGCAGCTCTGTCAATGGTTTGCAGCTCTGTGTCCTAAGGCAGGCTGCAGAGAGACTTAATGTTTAGAGCTACACAGGTCAGCAAATGAGTCTGTCAGAAAGCAATGAAGTGCTAATGACTTGCTATTACCTAGCTATTTTTTCACTCTAATTTTACAGAGCAAATGAAGCCAGAGGTTAAGTCACTGGCTTGAGGTCACCCTGGCCCAGCAGTGTAAGAGGCTTTTGGCTTTCGCCACAGTTGTTGGACTGTACTTCTGACTGGAGAGGGAGGCTGAAAGGCCTATGGAAAGCAGAAGGAAATGGAGAAACTACAACTAACGTGCTAATTCCAGAATAGAAAGAAATGTGGTCTGCTGAAATGAATAAAACAGTGAAACAGGTGCAAAATCATTAAGAGGGAATCGGAAACAGCTAAAAGAACAGCACCATCATTTATGTTTGTTTATGAGTTACATTATGGAGTGACCAAAGAAAGGGAAAATGCTAGATGGGCTGACTTGGAAGCATTTAGCATATTGTCTTATGATATCTTTCTTAAGAAAGTCAATTTAAATTAACTGAGCATAAGGTCTGGTATGCTGGAAACAGATCACAAGTAGAAGTAAGTGACTAATGGTAGCTGAGGGAGATGTCTTCATAAGATGCTAATGTAGCTTCAGAATAAAATCTGAACACGATGGTCTGGATGAGGGAGTGAAAATAATTTTGAGGAAAACAAATTTTCTTTGGGGACACAAAAAACCCACACCCCAAATCAAAACAATTGAGACATGGAGGGAAAAGTTAAAGAAAATATGGATGAGATATATTAAAGTAAGGTTCACCTTAGAAAAAATGCAAGATAATGTATCTGGGGGAAAAAAACCCAAACTTGGAGATGTCACATTTCATGGGAAGAAGAAACTTGGAAATGACACTCTCAGAAGGAGAGAAGCAACATGAAGTATCTTGTGTGTAAGATGTGTGTAAGATCTTACTCCACAGAAGCCAAAGCTGATGAATGAGAAAAAAAGTCACCTAGCTGGTCATGGTCAGCCTTATCTTCAATGATCTTTAATCTTTTGAAGAAAGGGTACTTTTTTAAAATCAAACTTCGGTTCTCCTCTATGAAGAAGAAAAATGTGTAATTGTGCCTCCTGATCCTCTCTTCTTCCCTGTACTCTTTAGGTTTCCTCTGTCCTCTTCAGTACTGATTTCTGGTCTCATGTAACCTCTCTCCCTTCAGTGCCTGATAAACTGTGGAGTATTTCTGACTGCTCAGGCCATATCTGAGCAGCTGGTACTCACCCAGCAGAACCAGCGAGTCTGGGTTCACCCTATACTCCGTTTGGTAGGACAGGCTGCCCGACCTGTTGAAGCTGGTGGAGAGCTCTTGGTGGAGCATTGTGTTTACCCTCTCAGCAGTCATGTCCTTCTGTTGGCTCTCAGGGATTTGGAGGGCAAACCAGAAGAAGAAGGTCAGAGCCCCCTCCCTAACAGAGAAAAAGCATGTTAAATATCCTCTCCTCTTCTCCAGCATCACTGGAGAGGCAAACCTCAGAGAATAATCCCTCACTTTTTCCACAGATCAGACATATTTGTGCATGACCCATGGAAACCACACAGAGTGGGGCCGGAGAGATGCTGCATCCATGGTGCTAGTTAATATCCCTTTGGGGAAGGAAACCATTCTGTGCCATCTGGCTTCAGTGATGACCATACACGGTCAAATTAATGTGATAATTAATCAAGATTGGCCTAATGAGTAGTCTCATTTCAGGTAGAAATGACCTGTGGTTACTATTGACTAGGGTTTGAGAAAAAAAACCACTCAAGACTTCATTGTCTCACCTCCCAGTGGTGACAAGTGGATGATTTATGACTCAGTACCCTACCACAAGCCATTAATGCTGGCCAGGCTCAAGCTGCAGGAGGCTGTGACTGGGAAAGCTCTGTTCAACCAGCTGGCAGAAAAAATTGGCTGGGGGAGGGGGAAGAGATGTTGAAACAAACCTTTGTTCAGTAAAAGGCTAGAGGAAGAATCACAAGTGAAACTTTTCTTTCCCCAGTTGAAAATGGAGTTGCATCAAAATTTGAATTTTCCTTAGCTGAAGGACAAATTTAGGGATGTAGTCTTTCATGGAAAAAAATCAGAAACAAATGTATACATCAGTTTGGAAGGTATTCCTACTTTCTCGATCTACTGTGAAGATCTACAAAGCTATAGTCCCACATCTGTCCCATTCCACTGTTACCCTGTTCCCAGATGGACCATGCTCCTTGGCTGCAATATTATTTCCATGGTGCATTCTGACCTCTCCCTTCTGGTTCATAGAATCAGGCCATAAAATTGGTTTCTTTAATTAGAGAAATTAATTTCCAGCTACTTAGTTTCTACTGAGAATGCCAAGCCCAGTTGTTTGGGTTTGTTTGGTTTTTTTTCATTTCTTCCCAGTATTTTTTTTTAATCTCTTGAACTTTTGCCTCTCTGAAAAATTCCAGTGTTGGCTTTTCATCATGACCTCAGATGAACGTGAACATCAAAATATCCCCAGCTCTGTCATGATGGAACCATTCTGGATATGGACTGCCCAGCCTGGCCTAGAGGTCATGGTGGGGACTGCAGCAGTTTGTCATGGTCAGATTCAGTGAAACCAGAGTACAATTGACTAGAAGATTTCACACACAAACAAGCAAAAATGCTCTGGGTGCTACTCACCCGAAGGCATACACTGTGCTTGAGTTGTAGTATCGACCCAGCTCTGTGGCATGAATCAGTTCCTTCAGCTGTAATGAGAATGTTGTCTGATAAGTATTGTGCAGTGTTACAGTGGCAAAGGACCTACGGCCAACCCTATGGTTCATCCCTTCTGCTGTACGGACCCACTAAGTCTGTCACTTGGATGGGGGTAACTGACCGACTCCTTTCTTCTTTCTACTCACTGAACTGTAATCAGGGCCAGCTTTGGTCATGAAATTGCCCTCACCATCTTCTGGAGCTTAGCTGACTCCAACCAGAAGGCTCTGGACTCCACCTGCCCAAGGTCCGGGGAATATTGGCGATTGAGGACTTGGAGGCTGCCAGAATAAAACTGCAGAACGGCTGGTTCCAGGTGCCATGGTCTGTAGTCTGCCAACAGAAGACACTACTGGATTACGTTGGTGATGTGATAGGGTTTACCTCTATGTGTGAATCTGTAAAGATCACCCAGAGTTACTAGCACGCTTTGGGCTGGGCATTGCCTTGACTACACCCCATCCACCTCTTGCATGGGGACAAAACATGTTGAATTTTTACCTAGGAAATACCAGGTTGCAGCAGCAGCTCCAGCCAACAAAAGCAAGGCTATCCCAAGGGGCACATAGCGGAGGCAGTCGCGTGAGTTAGTCTCTGATCCGTCCTTTGAGAGGGAATTGGCATCTTCCTCCTGTTCCTTGGCCTCCATCAGGGGCATCTAGTGACACAGCACACCATGGTCAGGCTGGGTTTTCTGCATCCCTTTATGTCTCTCTTTGAAGGTGCTCTGCTATCTCTGTGCTCCTCTCCCAAGATATATAGCCTCAAGAGATCTGTGTGCTAAACATTGAAGTCTTTGCTCAGTGCAAATGTGAGTAAAACTCCTAATTCAGTGGGAAGCAGGCTTCCAGGACACTGTCCTGTCTATGCCTCCTGGGTAATCCCTCAATTTTCAAATGCATTCCCTGGGTTTTGCTTCTGCCAAAACCACAGATGAGTACAATAATTAATTTCTTCAGAGACAAAAGTGGTGTCCTCCCCAGCAGGGAATGGTTTTTAAACTGCTATTTTATTGACCTAGAAATCAATGCAAAAGAAAATTTGTGACCCCAAATGCACACAGAAGTTGCACAAAACAACCAGAGCCTGGGAGCCTGAAGTTGCACTTTGCCTGCTGTGCTATTTTACTCTTGATTCCTAAAAGTAAGCAAACCTTGCCATTCCCACCAGACTGTGTGTCTCAGGGCTAAGCTCAGGTACTGAGCTAGTGAGGAGAGAGCATCTGAACAACGCTCAGCCCTCCATAACCCTCTGCATGTGACAGGGGACACCTTCTGTCTTCCTTTGCCCCTTGTCTACCCCAGGGCTGCTTTTTTTTGCTTCCTCCTGACTGCTCCCTTTCTGTCAGTCCCAGACTCTAAGTGGATGCCATTGCCCAAAAAAGCCATGTTAATCTTGCTTAACTCGCCCACCTTCCTCCTCCTTCCTCTGCAGTCACTCAGTGCATTGCTGCCCCAAAAGGCTTCGTGTGTTTCTGTGGGTGGAGGGGAAAGGGATGTGAACGCATCCACATAGGAGGGCACAGAGGTCTTGGGGAATGCCTGCACCCTGTCTATATGTCTGCAAGTTGTCCTCGTGCCCAGTGGTGTGTGTGACTGTGCAGACATGAATGCACAGGAGGGACTTGTTGCAGATGTAGAAAAAGATGATGCCCAATTTAGTCCATGTGAATACATGGAGTGTTCACATGATAGGAGCAAGTGGGCTTCTCAATCTTCTTGCTTTCCCCCAGTTACTGAGCCCCAGGCCCTCCAGGCTGCCTTGCAACATGGAAACGTGCTTGCAGACCATAAGCACCAGGGAACTCCCTCTGGAAAATCAAACCCAGCTTGGTGAACATTAGCACTTGGACAATCAGCTGCACATCTGCTTGCTCTAATGCAACCTTCCAGAGAGGCATGTAATATCAACAGGCTCAGCACAGGCTGCCCTCACTTGCTGCTCATGGATCATCTTTCTGTGCAACCCCTTGAGGAGGATCTCCTCCCCAGTGAACTAGGCTGGGTGCTCCAGGAGAGCAAGGGCACTTCTCCTCTATCACAGCATCCCTTCAGAAACAGCAGGCACAAGCAAAGAATGGCACATGTTGTGGGTGTGTGGGGGAGGAGGGCAGGAAGCAGCAGCAGAAGAACCTCTCTGTTAGAAGATTTGATGGTAGGCACCGGGGTTTCCCCCAGAGCTGCAGACCTACCTTTGAAACCTGCTGCTGCCTGTGAGGCCTGGCCCACACCCCCCACACAAGCCAGCTCACACACGCATGGAGAGGGGGAGAGAGAAGAGGACATCTATTTACCCAAGCTCAAGGTCTTCTCAGCAATCAATAACCTGATGCCATGTCCCTTCAGCTTGGCCTTTGTCCTGCCCCGTCCTGTCACGATGGGTCAGCACACCCTGTGCAATGGCTTTTTTGTTTCTGAAATGGAGGTCTCAGAGGCTTGCAGCAGGAGAAGATCTGCAGGATGAGCAGGGGGAGCCTGAAAAAAGTCAGGGTAGGAGCACCTCTAGCTGTGCAGAGAATAACCCAGGAGGCTGGTACAAATAGCTTATGTGGTCCTCCTCAGGGGACAGGGAGTTGCTGAGCAACTGCTGTATTTCTTAGCTACTCTCCTTGGTCCCATTGGAAGGAGAGGCAAAATGCAGGGTGTGTACTTGCCAGCACAGGGATAGAGCAGATGCTGGCTGGCAGCCGTAGATCGCTTGAAGGAGGAAAGATGGCAGTAGACAGCAGGTCTGGTTACCACACTGGTCATGAAGATGAAAACAAGGCACAGTGTCTCTCAGTCCTGAACTGTAAGACTCCCTCTGGTCTTCCTGTGCATCTCGTTGCCCATTCTCCTGATGCTGGGCTCCTCTCACTCCGTTGCACCACCACTTGCTCCTCCCTCCAGCATCTGCTTTTCTTCTAGCTTCAGATTCTCCTCTCCTATGTTTTCTGCAATACCTTCTACATACAGCTCTGTACGCGACCCTTGTTTTTCACGAAAAGCAACCACACTCCAGCTACAGCAGAGTAAATAGAGTTATTCTGTCAATAAAGCAGGGGAGGGAGGGATAGGGACATGGAAAGCTCTTGATCTGGGGCTGAGTTCCAGCCAGTGGCATTGAACCAGGGCTGAGCAAATTAAGGCTCATTTGGGTGGCTGAGCAGGGATAGCTCTTTTCAGCTGTGCCAATGGTCCTGGTTTAATCTGGGACTGCATGAAGACCAAAAGCTGCTGCTGTAGTTGCCTTGTAGTGGATTCTAGTAGATAAATGTTAAATGTGGATGAAACACTGCAGTATATAGGTGGGAATGTGCCAGTGTGGTTATCTCAGCTAACTAATTGCTGTGAATATGGGAAACTGAGGCATGCAAGAATGATAAGAAATGCTTTCAGAACTGCTCAAGAGATTTAAGAGACCAGATTTCACTTTTAAAGTTACTTTGAGCCAAAAAATGTATTTGTATATGGCTCTCACAAGCTTACACTATGAGGACTTGCCACAGTGTCAGAACTCAGCTGACGGTATTTCCCAGTGCCAGAGACCTTACTTTTTTGTATCCAACTTTCCTGGAAAGAAGCATTCTCCTCCTTTGGTGTTTTCAGCAGAACAAAAAATATAGAATCTCAATCTGATTTATCTAAGCAAGCATACCACATCTATCACCACAGGCTTTTGAACCAACCAAGGACTCTAAACCTTGATCAGATCTGACTTCAGAGGAATTAGTTTGCTGCAAGTAACCTTTACTTTCTGCTTCTCCACAGTAAAAAAAAAAAGGAAGGGATGTAGGAGAGGGCTGAGAGTGATGTTGTTTATTTATGAACAAGGTACCTTGGAAAGAAGGAGGTGAGAGATGTGACAGCTATCTTTGCTGTCTCTGGTCTTAAGATAAAGAGAGGACTCATGTCTGCAGTGGCTAGCTCAAGATTTTCCACATAGAGCCGGTGTTCAGCTTTGGTTTGCCTTTAGTACTGATGGACACTGTTGTAGCATCCTTCTGTGATTTTACCAACCATACACTGTGCATTTGCATCAGCTTGAGAGGGGACTGCTACCCATGTGACATTTCCAATGAGCTCTTGGGAGCCCAGCAGAGAAAGGACCCCATATCACTGAGTGTTACACCTTTCACGGTGTACTATTCACGACCTGGGTTACTCACATATGAGACCACATGATCTTGCCTTCCTGGAAGAAAGGTCCGGTTATCACCAGATCTGATGTTGAGCACTTCCTGCCGCAGTGTGTCACACATTCACACCCAGCATGGCTGCGAATGCAGTGCTAACAGCTTGCCAGCTAGAAAGCTGTCAGCATTTTTCACAAGGGGGGAGGAAAATACAGAGCCAGCAGGATAGTCCTCAGGGGTTCGCAGCAGGACCACAGAAAGATCTCTGCTTTCTGTTATAGGTGGCCGAGTCCCTTGGGGAGTAGGAAGGAGGGGTAAGGGTATATTGGTCCAAGCAAAGCTTCACCTAGTCCCCTATTTAGAAAAGCTGTTAATCAACCCCCTCACCCCAAAGGACAGAAAAGCACCGGTGATTCCTTAATATTTACTTTATTTACAAAGAGGCAAAGTTTTTCTTTGCTTTTTTCATCTTAGCAGCGTGAATAATTGAGAAGCTTATGAAGATCTATATAGGGACAGGATAACCATCAGTACAACTAGGATCCTTGGCCCATGTAAAATAGCAAACTGCCCATTAAGAGCAAGGGATTCAGTGTCTCTTTTTGAAGTTCATCTGGGGAGATTCTCGAAGTACAGCAAACAGCTGGGCAAGACTTGTTCTTCCTTATCTGGAAAGCTGTGGGTTCTTCACCTGCTGTCTCCTGGAAACAATGGAGCAGCCCATGAAGGTGGTGAAGAAGCTGAGGAGTAGAGGTATAGGTCTCCCAGCCTTCTCATCTGCAGGCTCTTTTGAGCTGAAATCCAAGCCAGTGGGTGACCCCGTAACTGGGACTCACATTGACGTTCAAACTGCATAATGCAAGGTCAGGTGTGGGACCAGGACACAGGAGAAGCTCAGCACTTGAACAGACAGAGGTAAGGAATAATTAGTTCTGGGTAATATCACAGAGGTGACAGAAGTACGAACAAGTTAGATATTCTTGACCTTTTTGATATAAAAACTCTTAGAAGAAAGATATTTAGCACAGGGCTGGTATTTTCCCACTGCTGAATAGTCCAGAATTATGGCAAGAAAGCAGACAGACAGACAGTGCAGATGTTGAATGCAGGGATGGATGCAACCAGAACAGTTTTGCCTTGCCACTTTTCTTCTGTGGTGTACTGCTTTTTCCCAACCCAGACTGGCAAATGCAGAGGAAAAAGAAAGGAAAAAAAAAAAGTAGTCTTTGCTATCCTCATTCTTTATGAGTGGATTGAGGTTTTCTTTTCAGCAAAGGTGCTGATTCGTGGATTAGTTTTCTGGGCTCATTCACCGCATCTTTGCTGCTAATTAGGCAATGGTTTCCCTTGAGCAATGGAAGGAATGGGCAGCACTGTTGCAATGTTTTCCACTAGTACAGGATGTGGGATGAACTATTCTACAATCAGCTTATCGTAGTCAAATAACCGTATTTTGCCAGCAGGGCAGAGAGGCTTTCGATTTCATGAAAAATATTGCAGCAAGAATGGGAAATTGTGTACGTTCTTTTTACTACCATCATCAG